CCCCACCCCTAAAAGTTACTGAAACTTGTAACCACAACAATGCATCACTGGAGAGCACTGATTTAACAAGTGCTGTATATTTACATATATATTTTGGCTGCTGTTAGATTCCCTCATGTTGGATTTTTACACCGTATGCCTTTCAGGATGCAGCCCCGACCGGCATTATTCAAAACATTACAATAACTACCTAAAATCCTTCTTTTGCATAACTACATCCTGGTTTAATCTTGACCACATCCATTTAATGGGCTGGTTATTATTATATTTTCAATATGTGCAATACAACTTTTTTATGTTTCTCAACATCCAAAGGCGGAAAAAGAAATGTTAAGTATGACTTAGTCAGCTAAGACCCAGAGTAGTGACTTATGTTTTAAGTTTTCAATCAAGTTGAAAAAACATATTATAATAAATGACAAAGAAAAAATAGCCACTTTAAAAGACTGAAGCCAGGCTTAAAATCCCTCCTGATTATCATTTCCTTTTCTTGGTAAAACTCATTAAACAGTAAGACTCATAAAAGCAGCAGGGGAGATGACAGTCTAGCATTCTCAGTTGTTTTAGAGGCCTCTGAGCGCAATAAGCATCTGAAAATTGGGGGCTGTTAAAGTGATTCTTTTTTTTTCTTTTACTGCCAAAGTGTTGTTCTTCAACAATGCAAGTAACAAGCAAGAATCCCAAGAAACGTGGAGATAACAGAAGCCTTTTTTGCACCATTTTCTGAGGGCAGCTCTGCAGGGAAGGCATTTACACCTGCTTGCCTCATCTTTCACGATACACTAGGCCCCCAAAGTGTGCTTTACTTATAAATATCCACATCTTGTGGCAAAGATGGAGGGACCACAAAAAAGCAAAGAAAAAACAACAAGTGTGTGTGTGTGTGTGTGTTATTTAAAACAAAAAAAATAGGGATTGTCTGGGCAATATCCCAGACAAATGAAGTCGGTTTTCACTAGTGACTTGTTTGTCAAATCAGCACAAAGGATTTATGGTCCGTAGCTACAATGAGAGGTTACACGGAGAGTACAAGACCTCAGAAATTAATCTTTCTAGTGCTGGTCACGACACCTGAAACCCCCAAAACTCCTTTAAACTTCACCATTCTCAGTTAAACAACTGGACTTGAGATAGGTGAAAACTTTACACCAATATAGGTCAAATTTATTCTTTTTTAAGATAAAATATTTCATCTTTAAGCACGCTTATCCTCAGATTGAACTGAATGAAACATGAAACATGGAGAAGAGGAAAACAAATGAACTACTATCTCATTTTAGTAAAATCCTATCTAGCACCTTTTCTGCAATACGATCTACATCAAAGCCCTTCGCATTGACTTTCAACTTCACTGTAGGGGAGGGAGGGGGGGTGGAAGATATACAACATTAAACAGCATTTTTCATTCATGAGCAAATCATGTTCTGTTTCAACAATAGAGGAAAAAGAGCTGATTCAGTGAAGCCGCTGCAGGGGTAATTGATAGGGATCCAGCAAAGGTAACTCCCGGGGGAAATGCTGGATCATGAATTCCTACCCTGCCAGCGGGAACAAGGACTATCTATAGACGTTTTTTTTAATCCCCAGTGGGCGAGAAAGTGGCTTTAATAAAGAATTTAAAAGGACATTTAAAGCTGAATTAAAGCCATGTGTCTGTGAAACTAAAAAAAGGTTAAGTTATAATTTATTATAAGAATCAATGGGAAAAAAATTTACTGCACTCTCCAAGCATAGCGCTGATTTACACTTAATATGAACTCTTCCTTCCTCAATAACAACTCATTAATCTAATAAACGAAAAAGTAAATAACTGTTAACTGCAGAAAAAACAGGGTTTCACTTCAATTACTTGAACAGCGTTAAAGAGAACATGTTAAACTTATAGTGCCTGCCAGATATCCCTTTGTGAAAGATGAGAAGGGAGTGGCATGACTGCTAGGCCTATCCCTGTCACTTCATTAAGCTTTGCAATAACTGTTCTTTGCAGCCCACATTCTCCTTCCATCTGTATTATGCTGGTAAATCACCTTGCGGCAGCCAAGGGGAAATTGCTATTTATTTCACAGCGCAAAAAAGAGACGACTCTCGTTTGTAGACCTGGAGGCTACGAGAAAGACAGAGCAAGAAGCTGCTGCCAGGCTGACTAGAGTCCAAACAGATGGTGGGTATAAGAGAAAAGTTGGAGGATTCTGTATAGTTATGTCCACACATGCTGACAGAGCTCCGATTTGACTGTTCTGCGCTTGACAGGACTCTGACTTCTCCCCTCCCACTGTTGCTCGAATTAGAGGGGTGTGCTGCACACACATAAATACACAAACACACATGCACACACTCGCTGTCAAAGAAGTGGAAAACACTCAAATTGTCATGGGAGGAATACATCAAGTGCCTTCACACACATATACACACACATATTCTTCCATATAAAAACAAACTCGCGCCGCACTGCTTGTGTTGTTCCTCAGCAAGTTAGGTAGCCTGGTTGTGTATCCGAGAAACAAACTGGCCGGGACAAGTAAATTCCCAGAGCTTCTTTCACCAAAGCCTTCACGTCTTCCCTGATGGAAGATTGGTCTACTGGACTGGAAAAGGCAAGAACCAAACCAAGCATGGCTGCTCTTGATTCACACATATATGTACAAGCTCGAGTTTGTGCGCGTCCACACACACACAAATAAAAACCACTGATCTGAAACTACTCAGTGGGTACAAACAACAAATACAAAAAGGAGCTACTTGGCATTTTAACTTCCTCATAGACACATAAACACAGTGAAACACGAGCATTGGTATTCATAACTGGCATAGAGATTTGAACTGAGACCAAACAGAAACAGCGGTGGTGTCGAGACAATTACGTTTTAAGTGAGAAAAGACGCTAAAGGAAGCATATGTCTGTTGATTAATTAAGGATGGGGTGGGGAAAGATGACGCCTCCTTACCTTTGCTCTGTGAGGAGAAGCAGAGGGAAAGCTGAGCAAATAGGTCAGGATTCTCAAACTTCTCTTCTTTGACTTTGATCCAGAAGCAATTCTCTGCCATTTCCTGAGGCACTATCTGCAATGACACAAGGATTCCATTATCACCACAATCAGAAACCGTCATTCCACCAAGCTGCCACTCAAAAGTTCTTCTCACTGGAGATGGAGTTTGTGAGTGTTTTTGCCGCGTGCGGCCACACACATGCCCTTGAGTGGCATCTTTAGCATCTAAAGAGTGACAAACAAGACAAACAAGAAATAACCAAACAGCAACAGGAGAATGTGAGGGATACATTCATTTTTGTATATGACGAGAAACCGCATGAACTTAGCCATGCTAAACTTTACCCGAGTGAACAGACACAAAAACCAACATCGTAGGGATCACAAGGCGTGTAAAGGAAGATCAAGACATGAACACATCTAATTACTGTAGTAGTGTATCATCAATATCTATACCATTTGCCTACTTCCGCTGCACACTGTATTAAGTGCTATAATGAGACCTCCTAAAAGGACCACTTCTGTGGCTTTTTGTCAAACACTTGAATTTGCACTTGACCCAGTGCAAAGCTGCCAATAACCATCTTCGAAAACACAGTCATTTCACACTGAAAGACGTCTAAGTAAAACACTCATGCAACACAGACCTATCTCCATCTAGCTCTGGTCCATTACTCCCAATGCCGTATAGTAACAGTAATAAGTATAACAGTGTTGTCAATCATGAGCTTGTTTTGGTGTCCAGGATAGATAACCTCTGTGCTCTTATTTGCTTCTATTCGACCCACATATACAAACATAACACACATGTGCCTAAAATAGGTTTGTTTGTTTTGTTTTGTTTTAATTGCCTATGCGTATAACAGCTGTTTCACAAGAATTACAAATTATTGTAGCAAGAAAAATAATTTTACCGAAATAAATATGTAAATATTAAAAATGACTTAATGTTAGCTTTCCAAGTGTTTAGAATGTGGAAGTAATTTATAGTTTGCACAATTGTTAATTGTAATTGTTAAAGTGGCTTTGTTTAAAGTGTATTGCACACCGCTATATACTGCCCCCTTGTGGTCATCCTACAAACAATGTAGCATGCAGAAGCTGCATGTTGCATATAATGATGCGATGAGAATCCTTTGCAGGATACCTAGAAGTGGTAGTGCCAGCCAGATGTTTGTAGCTGTGGGTGTTTGGACTTTTAAAGCACTTTTAAGAAAGTTAATGTTCAATTTTAGAGAACAACTGGAGTTCGAGTAACAGTATAATTTTAGCACAGATCCGACAGTGAGTGGTTCCCGTTACTCATCCAGTCTGAGAAAGCACTGGTTAAAGTGTTTGTGTATTTATTGATTTATTTTAAGTAATTGTGTTTTATGTATATTATCGTTTTATATTTTTACAAATGCAATATATACTTATTTATATACGGACATGAAGTCTGCCAATAAAGATTGAATTGAATTGAATTGAATTGCGTGTGACCAATGGGGTGATAAACAGCATAGTAGCAATTTCAGGGTTGGCATTTGACTGTCCACAACATGAGAAGCAGAAAAACAGACAGGGATCTCATGAATTTTATCAAAGGGTGGCTTTGACTTGTGTGTGACAGTCATTGACACGGCCCTTTGGAACTCGGTGCTATTAATAAAAAGGAAGCACTAATCAAAGCACATCGAAATTCCAGAAGTGACTACTTTAATTACAACTACATTAAAGGTTAGGACATGTATATCTGCCAATATACACTATGCAGAGTGCGAGTCTGTGAAGTCACAGATTTCAGGCTGCACTCTTTTTTCTTGTTTTTTTAAACCGACAGAAATAAAAGCAACAGAAAAATACTTAACCAAATACCTAACAAACTAAAAGGTTTCGTCTACATGAAAGTACCACAACAAAACAGCTTATGCTTTAGAATTTTTTCTGCTCCTACTTTGTGCTATTAAGTCAAGGTAATGACATGAAACAATCTAACCACAGTCCATCTCTCTTTTAAGTGAGGTCCTGAATTGCAGGTAAACAAAGCACCAAAGACAGTATAAAAGCTTGTGAATTAGTCACATATTTTTTCAAGACCAAATACAAAGGTATTTTGCGGTAAATTGCATAAAATGTTTTTATATATACAGAATATATAAATAAATAAATAAAGTGTTACCATTTTAAATTGGCTTAAAAGAAAACTGAATGAATCTGAACTTATTTTCTCATTTTCCTAATATTTTGTTTAACATTTGGCCTGAAAGTGAATATTGGCTTTACCCTGTTGGACCTGAGCAGAGCGAAACACAAATTACATCTTTATGCTTGTGAGAAAGCACTTACTGCAATTTAATGATTTAATTTTGAGCCTAAATATGAGCTAACTCAATGTGGTCTGTACAACTCATCCATTGAATCTCCAGCTTATCGTGGTGAAGGTGTTTGTGTGTCGAAGTGATGCCAGGAGCTGTGTTATTGGGGGCTTATGCTGGTTGTGTAGCCCAAGACAAACTGGTCAAACCTGTAGCTACTGAAACTAGCTCTTAAAACTTCCATCATCTCTCTGGTAGGAAAGGAGCCTGAACTAATGAGTGATGTTGAGCAATACCAGGTAGATATAGTAGGTATCATCTCAACACATGGCTTAAGGTCTAGAACCAAACTCCTTGAGAGAGCTTGAAACCATAATCACCATCAGTAACCGAGGAGGGAAAGTGATGCTCGACTCATACTGTGTACAGTGAGGGTGGGACGCCACTGACTTCAACCAAGGATGTAATCTGGAGTTAGAAAGAATCTTCATAGAGAAGCAATAAGTGGATGACTTGTCCATCACTGGAAGTGAGATCACTGACAGTTCAATAACTCCTAGATGACAGGTCCATTGGGATGGATGAAACTCACCCCGACTATGTTATGGCTCTAGATGTTGTGGGATTCTCTTGTTTAATGTGCCTCTGTAGGGTCACATGGAAATGTGGGCTACTGGAGAGACGAGTCTGTTAGTCGAATCTCATGGAAACGAACAATGAGTACTGGAACGCTGGACCAGGTCGTTATCCTATTTTGGACATTCAAGGCTACGTGGGAGTTTGCCGAACAAGTCTGTAAGTGCTTTGTGGACTTGCTCTATTCCTTAGGGCAGTGGTAATAATGACCTGTGTAATAATATTCAACATTGCTATCAATACATTTTTCAAAAAATGTCTCTCTGTGCAAAATGGGTTTAAAAACATAAACAGCTGTGGGATCGTGGCAGGATCAGCCTGATGTTATTTGTATCCCGCTGTAACTTTACTGTATAAAGAGCATTTGTGAGTGTTTTTGCCGCGTGCGGCCACACACA